AAATCGGGTAGGTTTAGTTACAGTTCACTCCTTAGAGGGATATTTGTTTTGTCTTCCTGTCTGTATGATTGTTTCAACCTTGGAAATCCTGTTCATTTAAAATAAACATTTGATCCTTCCAAGGAAAGACTTACTTAAACATTTAATAAATTATACATGGGTTACGCGTGTACACTTGAGAACAAACAGTTCAGCCTAGAAGGAGACCTGTCAAAATGCCAAAAAGCCGCACCAGAAAGTGAAACTGATACATATTATAGCTTTATGTAACCACTAGATGTCGCCTTCCTGTAGCAAACAACGGTCGCCCCCATTGTCCAGATCTGTATGATAAATGACGCTCCTTTTTAACAGTTACAGTATAATTCCGGACGAGTAACTGACAAGGTCTTCATCTTTCTTTCTTAGTGATTATTTCTCATTCAAGATGGGTTATAAATAAGAGGAAGCCATTTGGTCCGACTAGCTTGTTCGGTAGTTAGTACTGTAGCTAACCAGCGTAAGGATCTCATCCGTCCATTTCTTGAAAGAAACCATGTAGTACCTTCAACAACATGTTGTGGTAGCATTTTCCACATAGCTCCACAACCCCTTTGGGTAAAGAAGTGACTCCTGCTTCTGGTTTGAAAAATACTATCACGTATTTGCAATTGTTGCGCCTTGGTTTGTGTTCCACTGTTCTCTCTGAAGAAATCTACAGGGCTGTCTTTCTCAGGGCCTTTGAGGATTTTGAATACTTGAATAGTTTTAAATACTGTACTTGTGTCAGGTCCCCACACAGACTTCTCTGTTTAAGACTATAAAAGTAAAGTTCCTGCAGCCTGTCAATGTTGGACATTTCCTTAGCCCTGGACTGTATCTGGTTGCTCTTCTCTGAAAAGATTCCATACCAGCAAAATCTTTTTCTGTAGCCCGATGAGCGTAATTGTACGCAATATTCGAAATGAGGTCTTAATGATGTGATTTAAATCCTATGCTTTTAACTATATATCCTGATGTTTTTTATTTTTGTTTTCCCACAGTCTAAAATATGGAAATGATGTAAAAGTAGGTAGCTGTGTCAGCATGTGTGTTTTTGTTTCTCAATGGGTCATATTTTAGGCAACACAGCATTGAAAAGGAACAGATAAAGGTTTTTTCCACGCTGAAAGGAAAAGTAAAGAGACACAACATTTCAGCTGATGCCTCAAGAAGGCTCCACAGCCGAAATGTTGTGTCTCTTTTCCTCTCAGCGTGGAATAAACCTTTGCCTGTTCCTTTGTAAAAGATGTGTCAACATAAACACCTAAGTCTTTTTCATAAATAGGCTCTGCTAACTCAGTGTTTCCAATTTCTTTGTGATTGTTCATAGAACAAGAGGATGTGTCATCATGTATTACCTCAAAACTTCAGATGGAAATTGAACCAGTTCATTGAAAGATCCCTTTTGCCAGTTTTGCATTTTTCAAATGTTATTGTTGCTTAAAGTTTAGAGGTGTATGATGCCTATTGGAGGTTTAGAGATTTTATATAGAATTAATTACAAAACATACAAGAATAAACATAAATTTCTGTTTAATAAGAATCTAAGAGATGGTAAACATAAAAACAAAATGTTTTTTTATTCTGCTTCTAGTTAATTCTCAATATATGGCTTGCTAACCTAGAGTAATTTTAATTTTTATTTCCCTGGTTTTAGATGTTGAACATACCTAGTGTAATGATACAAGAAGTAAAAAAAATACCTCCCACTGTAAGAAAGACCCCATTGAGATTTCCAAAAATTATTTTGAAGTATTGGAGCGTGCTAAATTTGACTCACCCTGCTATTATTAACTTGATTACTTCAAAAAAAAAGAAGAAGACGACGAACAGGAAAAAAATATGTCACACCACTGTTATTTTTGCATGTGGTCTATTAATCTATTCCACCTGCTTTAATTTCCTGAAGCACTACTGAAGACGATGGAAAAATTAGACTAATTTTATTTGTGTTTGAGCAAAAGTCATAATACCTTAAGTTATCGCTTTTACTTTCTCACAGGTTATAAAATATGACACTACCTGTAATGAACAGAAGCACATTGGCACGCCATCAGAGCCATGACACCAGACACTTAGAGACAGAAAAACTGGCAGCTGCTGGGCATTTGCTTCCCAGACTGCTAATGAACAACGTCCTCAGTCTCCCTCTGAAATCTGTTTCCTGTTGACACTCCATTATGAAATGTTCCACTTGATAATTTCCTGCTGCCTTCAGAAGGTACTTATCTAGTATGTTTAATGGCTGAAGCTTTGATTAAAACCCATCTTTGCATCCACTGCTTGCCGTTTACTGCATGCAAATCAATTTTATTTTCCAGAACAAAGGGGTGCACACTTTTAGACCTCAATAGAACACGCTCCAAAGGTTTATAGGGGTATAACAAAACTAACCAGAAGACAAAATAACAGAAATACTTTGCATCTATTGTACCACCACGATTAACAGAGGATACAAAAACATGGTTTCAAAGCTTGTTCAAACATTTCAAGCTCAAAGTGACGTTTTCCAGGGTACAGGCGTTATCTGAACATACAGTAGTTCCTTGGTGAGCGTCTGGACACCTACTGTACTGATCACCTGTCTATTATGATCTTTCAGCTGTGTTGAAAAGGGCTGACATATTCTATTTGCATTTAGAAAAAAGAGACTCAAATCTCCCCCACAAAACGTATAGTGAATTTGCATTTATTGTTTTAATTATTGATTTGTGACTACTCTGCTACTTTTGCACCTTTGTTACAGATGCTGGTGCTTAGAAAAACAAAAGTTCTTTAATGGGGGAAAGAATATCAACTCAGTTGAATTTATTTTTTCCTGTGTAACAAATTTATAAGCGTCATACACATTCTTTCATAGCTAAAAGCTCTCACACTTTCAGCTGAGAGCAATCAATGCCCAATCAATGAGTTTGCCTCTGTCTCAAGCAAGGAACTTGAAAAGAGGTGCAGTGTACGTGCTTCAGGTTATGCGTATTAAAAATAAAACCTTATGCTAAAGCTACAGTATGTAACACTAATTTGACTTAAGAGGGAAAGTCTTTATCTTTAGGCGGTATGGTAGCGCAGTGATTAGCATTACCGCCTAGCATTCCTCCCACAGTCCAAAAACCCACCGGTGGGTTAACTGGCTTCCGGGGAAATCGGCCCTGCGTGTCCGTGTCTGCGTTTGTGTCTCCTGCCTTTACGCCGGTTGCTGCCGATAATGAAAACTGAAAGCAGCGGTTAAAAATGGACGGACGGATGGAAGGCTTTAAAGCGTTTTTTAAGATCTTCAGGTGTAAGAATAAATATGTTAAGAGAAAGTAAATTTAAATGCGACTTTCCTGTAAATAACACATCGCTTAATTGTAACATTAAGGTATTCCATGGGCAGCATATTATTTAAACATAAAGGAATTTAACCGAAAATTTGAAAAACATTGTCAATAAGGGAACATGTTGCCGTTTTAAATAGATGTAAGAAACTCTTCTTTAAAAATGCAGACCTTGTTTAAAATCTTGCACTTGCATATAGCTTTATATAGCTCATTTGGCTATTTCATTGGAGCTTCTCTGTAATTCAACGATTTGATTCACAGCAGATGTTTCTGCATAATAAATAGGAGGTTATTATAAGGATTTTATACATTCAAAACTAAAATACCTACATTATGTAGTTGCGTCTTAATGTTTCTATAACGTAGGATGTATCAGTGATGATATTCATCCCTGAAGAGGAAGCCATGGACTTTGGTTTCTAACCTAAATAATAAAGCAAACAAATATGGGGGAAAGTTGGATGGAAACGACACAAATTTACATTCACAATTTTGTGACACGAGTCACACACAATGTTTTCCCCCCGAATTTCGTTCGTTGGCTGCGAAGTTGGTTATTTCTCAAGACGCGCTCGCTGAAGTATAACGCAACCATACACACAGAGAGCGCCTCACACAATCCGTGCATTTGCCCGAATAAAACACATCGATGGTAACTAAATTACGTATTTCCTCGTTGGTTCTCTCCGAATTTACATAAATTGTATTTGAAAGAACGTGAAAGGGATCTACCACGTATCAAGATGAACACTGTGACGAAGGCGCACACACCCAGAGGATGATTTAGTTGCTGTGGGATCTCTGCCCTGTGGAAAGAAGAGGGGAAATGATTTAAAAGCAGAGCTCCAGCCCCTGTCCCGGGGACGTAAATCCATACTTTACCGGTCACCATAAAACCACCTAATTGTAAGAATCGGGAACACTTAGAGATGAAATAAGCAAGTAATTTAGCTTAGTTAAAGTGGGCTCATATCCGCGAGAGCCAAATGGCATTACACCTTTCTTCCCGGGTCATTTCATGGTCTCTTTAATTAAAACCTGAGAGATTGGGGTTTTTTAAGGAACACAACTGAACACCGGTCAAAATAGTTGTTTTGAAACGGTACCGGGGAAAAAGGGGACAAGCAGAGTAGAAGAATGATTGTTAAAGGAAAAGTAAAAAAAAAACACGGCGGTTGCGGCGATTCTTTGTAGTAGTGTAAAAAAAACTGAACGAAAGGACGAGGAACAAAAATAAAATGAGAAGGAATGGCACACATCACTACGGCGGATGTAAATAATTTTCCCACTGAAAGAAAAAACTTCTCTCGAGCAGTTTGTGGTTTATGTTTACAAACAGAAAAGACGTGTTATGTACCGTGCTAATACCGTACCTGTTATTGTCGTTTCCCAAAATTGCCGCACGAATTCTCAACTTCATTTTACCTGTCACAGGAGGTCCCTTACGTCACCACCTGTTAACTAGTCCCCCAACCTGCTACCTAAGGCACCACCCCTCCTCTCCGTCCATTGGCCTTACTTTGACTAATGTCCGCCCCTGTCACTCATGTTTCATCTTTTAATGGCTACATCATATGTCAATCACTCCTATCCCGGTGCCGCCCCTTAGGGGTAGTTGTGCCTTAGGTGAGTCCCTTATAATATTCATCATGGCGTTGCGAGGCTGGGAGCTATTGCTCTCGACCTTTAGTGTGCAATCGTGTTGTCCGGTTTTTTTTCCTCTCCAGCGCGACTCATAGCAGCTCAAACTCCTAAAAAGCAACTAGAATAAGCACTCGCGATGCTGCAAGCGGTTGAAATTCATTATAGCTGAGGCGCTTTGTTCTATTTTAACTCTGCGAACTGCAACAGGATTTTTGTATTAGATCAAGCTCTGACTATGTCTTTACTCTGTGTGAGAGGTAAGGTTTTGCTTCACTTTTAAGTATTAAAGTTAGCTTTACTTGTGCTCCCTGACAGTACAGACTGGGTTGTTCGTGCTTACTGCCAAATTGACAAACTGACTATCCGGCTGGATGCGAACTTTTGCGCTTGTGGTTTACTTGTTTTTAAAACGGTTTTCGGTGTGCTGATTTGTTCAGTCTGTTTTATGTCTAATTTTCCCATGACCATGTGTTTTTGCAATAATTTTCAAAATGGGATTTGCTTCTCTTTTCACCCCGTTTTCTTGCATGTTGAAATGTGGTGATAATATACCCGCTGGGTCGGTTTGTTTTACAGTTCGTTCCGAGAACAGCCTATGACCCGCAGTTCTTAACGCGATGCTGACAGCAATGTAAAGACAGTATTTACCGTTATAATGGTTGTTAAACGCTGTATCTTCCAACACCTGTATTTAAGACCAGATATAATCTACATAGCATTATTAGGAACAGAAATACCGAAGGGAGTAATGTTTATAAGTTTTGATGTTTTTACACCAATAGGATCGGCTCCTTCCGATTCCTGCTTCGCTATAATGGAAATACATGTGTTCAGGAACTACTTTGTTAATAATGTGTGTGCTTTCTAGTGCTCAGTAACAGCACATTGTAAGGCGCTTAGCGTTACTGATTCGCAGTTTGTATCCACTGGGAGCTTTATAGGAAGGTGACGAAGGCGTTTTTGCTCCAGAACCTCGTTTGGCGCTGATGCTTTTATTGTTCCAGATTGCTAAAGTTGTCGAAAGTGAAGAATGGACAAAAAAAAAAAAATCGTGTACCCGCAAATGATAATGACTCTACAGTAGTGTTTGCTGTCGTGGATTCGAATACATTTTGTTTGATAGTAGCTTCGTTTTGGTTTGAATAACAATAGCCAGCGTCGGGCTTGGCCGCGTTATTGCAAAATATTGTGAGTTGAGGGACACAATGAGTTTCTCCGTGCAGTGGTGAAAAGTAATGTAAAAAAAGGTTGTTGACCAATTCGGAATTCTCTTACCAGATTCACGTGGCAGCGTATCACGGTATTATATCTCCGAAATGCTATGGTTCTTCGGAGAATGTTTGTCCTCCATGTCCGAGGCATCTTCAGAGACCTGTAGTACACACGAGATTATCTCAAGCCCACAGGATAAATCACGTTGTGGATCTCTTGCTAGTTCCTGTAGAGATGCGATAGTTAACGACATCCTTTATCTGACCAGAATGGGTGTTACTGGTGTATTGATGTAGCATTCTTTCTCTCTTTAGAGTTTTGTGTTGGGTGAATGGATGGTTTGGGCTGGACTATCATTGGTTTATGAAAATCTGGTCTGTTGTACAATGATAATTGTTGACCTAACCAGCTGTCTTGGTCCTGGAGGGCCAGAGTGATCTGTAGGTTGTCATTCTAGCTCTGTCTGCAGGGAGATGAATGAGCTAGTTACTGGTTTAATTGTATCAATTGGTTTACCCTTCTGCCAGCTCTTCAGTTCCTCTGAAGAGTTGGGGTGTGAACCTCAGCGGCAGTGTGGCTAACCTCATGTTCCCCAATAAGTCAAAAGATGTAGCAGTTCTCACTTGTCTGTCTGACCTGTTTTGTCCTGGGACTGCTGCTACTGTATATAATGGCTGCCACAGGTCACCCAGGAGGGTGTCGCACTTTGAGGTGGCTACTCTCTTACAAGTGAAGTTTTGGGGCGTCCTTTGGAGGTAAACGGTATATAAAAGCTATAGAAATTCAAGGAACTGTAATAAGTGGTTTGAAATCCCTAAACTTCCAGTTCCTTTTGATCCTTCCCCAGTTATGACCCTGCAGTGGTTTCACTGGCCTCATGACTGACAGTCTTTCTAACGTTGTAGTAATTGACAGTGGGTTTCACATTTATACATGTACAGTATGTAGACTGTAGGTTTTTGTGTTGTGGCTGGTCCTCTTATTTTGCTTTCTTCTCCGTCTCATTGCATATACGTAATTCAATAAGGATCTCTCCTAATTTTTTGAGTGGGATTCTGAGGGGGGTTTTAGCTGATTTAAACCTGATTCTAATGTCTCATTTCTGTGCTGATCTGCATTTATTGTAATGACTCCTTTGATGCTGTACCTAAGATTTGGAATTTGGAAACATTCCTGAGTTCTAAATTTCGATTCTTCATTTCACTCGGCTCATTTTTCCCCTTGAGTTTCTGCTGCATTGCACATGCATTCTGTTGACAGAAGTTGAGATGGAGAAGCTTGCATGTGTTGCTCTGTGTGCTGAGATTGGTGTGAAAGTATTTCTTATGGCTTTCTGTTTCTTCCATTAAAAAAAAAAGCTCAATCTCTTTCACAGTGCTGTGGCAAAGGTCCTGACCTGTTCAGGATCACATCAGGATTTTCCCTCAGTTTTGGAGTCTTTTCCCTTCTCCCTTTCCTACAGCTTTGGGTTTAAGACCTCGGCTTTCAGTCGAGCAGCTCTGTCTGCAAAAGATAAACTTTTACCTCTGATCTGCTCACACTTTTAAATCTAGCTTGCACAGGTGAGATATTTGATGGCCTCTTGATTGTATATTAATTACTTCTACACCTGATTAGAACCAGGGATTTCAGATGAAATCTCACCACTTCTTGTTGGAGTGCAAAAGGTCTCACAGACACACAGACACAGGCCATTTTTCCCAGAAGCCACTTAACCTAGCAGGATGTGTTTGAATGGTGGGTGGAAACCATCATGAACATGGAGAAACCATACAAACTCCACGCAGACAGCACCCCAGGTCTAAATTGAACCCAGGGCCCCAGCACTGTGAGGCAGAAATGCTAACCACTATGCCACCAGCAAGGATTTCCTTTGTACGTAACCATTTGCAGGGAAGGGGAAAAGAGAACTGTCCTGCGTGATGGACACTTGCTAGGAACATTCGGCTGAACTTTTGTGCTCTGATAATCCGGTGTGTTTCACACATCATGTCTGACATTTTGTAGGATAAATAGAATAGTTTCATATACTCCCTCCCTTGTTACTGAAGGAAGTAGGGATTGTGGTCTCCAGCGCTTAGCACAGCTCTTGTATAGTAATGGCCTAGAAACCTGAAAAAGCCATACCTGAATATCAAGCTGCCCTGTTCTTTGCAACTGTACACTGTGTACTCTCAACTTTCCATATTGATGCATTATAAATATATTAAGATCTGGAAATAAAAATAGCACCGTAATTTCATTTAATTATGTTATTACTGGAATAAGGATTACCTTAAAATAACGTTTACACACTGTTATTTAATAGTTATCTTCAGTGTCATTTTGTTCTTGATGTTGAAATAAATCCATGCATCCTACTGTTATCTTTAATAATGGATTATATGAGTGGTTGTAATCTTGTAAATCCTGGTCATTTTATTTCACCATAGCATAGCATATACAATGCTATGGTGAAATAAATTCAATAGTACAATAGCTTTTATAGTTCAGGTGGGAGCTGCGTCAGCATGCTTAGGCTACAAAGGTGTTGCCTTCTGTTGCACATCTGAAGAAGGCTCCACGGCCGAAACATTGTGTTTTTTTTCTTCTTTTTTTTTCAGCACGGAATAAACCCTTATTACTTGTTCCTTAATAGCTTTTATAGTCCATTACTTTTGATTTGCTTATCTACAATCTCTTGTGGATAGAGGCTGTATTCTGTGGTAGATTCTGATTTGTTATGCAAAACAGACATTTTGTTCCAAGCAGTCCAGCATTGCTTCGCTTTAAGGACTTGTTGAATATAGCGGTTTGCTGTTTTGCTTACAAGGAAGATTTCATTTGTTCCCGTTCATCTTCGCTTTGAAAAAATGAGAGGTGCCATACAGATTCTGTAACCGGAACTGTAAATGTTTAAATATGTGCATTATTTCAAAATAATTGACACCTTATAAATAACTTATTAAATTTTAGACATTGTGAGGTGTTCTGGTATGGTTTAATTAGCATTTTAATACCCAGTATGGAAATACTGCACACACTGGAGCCACTCCATATAATTCCTGACACGTCCTGTTGTATGAGAGAAGACAACAGGCCATTCTGTTTATTGACCGTCGTTTCTGTCATCATTTCAGTTTTCCATAATGATGTTTTTCATCGTATTTCATGCTGTAATGCAGCTCATGCAATATATTGTATAATATTGCATTTCAAAGGAAATGCTCGGAAAGTAACTTACAACGGCAGTTATTAAATATGATTTGTAAATCTCATCTAGTTCTAAGACAGAAATGTAGGAAGCCTTACTTTGAAATAGCATTTATTGTAGGTGATTGGTGAAAAAGGGACATCTGGGCCCATTTGAAAAAGATCAAGCTCCAAAAGGCCTTGGATTAGTCCAAAAAAGATATGACCCTGAGCTACGAAAATGTGTTTATTCTCCCCCAACGCCACCCCACCATGTTCTCTATGGTGTTGAGTGAATTTGAATGTGGGCTTGAACATCATGAGGTTACAAGAGCGGGGGCTCTGTGGCTAAGGATCTGCGCCTGTGACTGGAAGGTTGCCGGTTCAAATCCCGCGGCCGGCAGAGGAGTCCTACTCCGTTGGGCCCCTGAGCAAGGCCCTTAACCCCAACTGCTCCAGGGGTGCCGTACAATGGCTGACCCTGCGCTCTGAACCCCAGCTTCTCTCCCTGTCTGTGTCTCCATGGAGAAAAGCTGGGGTATGCGAAAAGACGAATTCCTAATGCAAGAAATTGTATAGGGCTAATAAAGAAACATTACATTACGTTACATTACAAAATCTCTCGGTATGTTGCACAACTGCATTTCTTCAAGTAGATGTCCTGCCAATCCTTTTAGCAGTGTCATCACAAGATGTGTAGCAAATGGGTGTGTTCCCTGGACTTAGATTTAGTTAGACTTATGGCATCACTGAAAAGGTTTTGACTGTATCAACACCTGCCCCCCACTTAGGCTTCTGCAAGTAAATTCTGCATTATATTCTTATGGGTTGTGTGTCACATGCATCTAATGTTTTGTGCTCAGCCTGTCGGATT